CAAGCGCAGGGAGTAAGTTAGCTTGCAGCTGAGAGTGCGTTGTAGGAACTTCAAACTTTGATAGCTATTGTCAGTTGGACAGCCTATTTTGTCTTGCAACTGGTCACTGACCTGTAGCGACCTGACCTGACCTGTAGCAGATCAAACTTAGAAGTTATGCTTGCCGGAGGACATTTACTGTGGCAGCTTTTAACCTAACTCTACAATCAAGTTTGAGAAGTCATATAACTGCGATGCTGTTATTTATGTATGTATGCATCTGAAATTACGATTACAAAAAGTCTGTCGGTCATGGTTCAGTTATGAATATCAAACCTAGATAAAACGCTTTTTGAATTCCGTGATCACTCAGAGGTTGAAAGGCCTCTTATATAGACTTTTTGAAAGCCAGGGGGAGTCAAGGACAAAAAAATGACCTTTAGCAACATTTTGCAATGCAAAAATGGTGTGGCACGCGGCATTTAGGCTTCACGACGCGCTCAGCTATTGAGGCTATGTAGCGTGACCTGTCTCTCAGTCTGAAAGGGGGAGCGGGAGCCACGGAAATGCATCTCTCTTTCTCTGGTTTCCAAGAGGCACAGCTAAGCCACTAAACTACCGGTACCCGCTTTGAAGAAGTTGTCACATAGGATAGTTCTCGAGTTGTTGCTATTTAGTTCTTTCATGTTAATCCAAGTATCAAAATGATATCGGAGCATTTATGCCATATTCATCCTTAAAAGTCTAATGAGATTGCCGACCTCACATGGCACCGAGTGAACTTTTCCTTGAATTTGTTTTCCAGGTTTAGAGTTGGTTGCGTGGGAGGTCTAAGGCTGATTTAGACACTGAGCCCGGATTAGCCTTGTTTGACCTGAGAATACCCGAAGGCTATGACCTAGATATATCAGAATTACACACAAACGAGATTACGTAGAGTTATACCCACCTTTGATGTGGCGACTCCAGCTTTATTCCTTTTTATATCGCAGGAGATCAAATCCCCCCTCCCACAAGCAAGGGCGTCGTATTCAACCGACCACCCAGGCACGCGTTAAATGTGCTCCTGGTCGGCTTCCTGAGAGCTGGACATGAAAGGGTCTCTCTTGACCCCCCACCAACTCAAAAGCTGTCCCACGAATCGGCACGCAACTAGCCGCAAACAAATGTTCTCAATTTATTTCACGAATCTTCAACCTTGAAACCGAATAAATATTTTTCTACGGGTGCAGAGTCGACAAGCAAATAGTTGGAGGCGTGGTTCTGGTGCTGAGCAATCCATCTTATTCAGTGCTGACCACGAATATAGTAGGTATATTGCGGGGTTCGATTCCCCGCGGTGCTCGCCTTTCCCGCTAGGGTGAGAGGCAGGCGACGCCATATAGCCTTAGCAGCTGAGTGCGTCGTAAAGCCCCAATGACACAGTAGGTATATTACAGTGCAAGTGCCTTAAAAACGACCCCCAAATTGCAGCATATATTTTGGTTCATAATGCTATTCACACAACAAACAAGTTGTTATAAGTGCAAATCCCTTCCTTCACAAGGAAGGACATTTGCCTTTAAACCCGTACAAACAGAACTGGTTATCAAGTTTTAAGGCAAAACATTAAACAGCTTAGAAACTACGCCAGGAAACCATGAAGAGAAAGCTGATTTGTTTTACTTCATTTTGCATTTATTACAGTTTGCTTGTAGAAATGAGGGTGACAATGGCTGTTGCATCGTTGTTGCAAGTGCTAGATTTATCCATTTATGTCAATAACAATATACCGCATCAGTCATAACACGACTGTCTTGCACAGCTATAGCATAATCTCCATGTTCTCCTCTTTTTCCACCAGCCCATACCAGCTAAGGACGGGTTGCTGCTGGTTTTCCTATAAAAAATTTGTGTCGGGCTCAAAATGACCACCCAGTCAATACAACTAATGCGTATAATTCACGAGTTTTCCACTTTCAAGCGCCTCCGTTAAAATCTGACGTTATTTTTCCGCTCGCTTCCAGAGCGCGCCAGAGGCCGCGCGAGTGACATCACGACGTCTCCGTCCAACAGCACCGGCCGCGCCGCCGAACCGGCGGCGGGGAGCCGGGCGGGCCAGTCGCGCGGCCTCTTCAAGGAGCTGGTGAAGGGGGCGCTGGTGCTGGCCGGCAACCGCGTGCTGGGCGAGCAGGTGACCAGCGCGCTACGGCCGCTGGCCCGGCCCATCGTCGATCGCCTGCTGCCCGAGGATGGCCTGGGGGGCCTCGGCGGCCCCAGCGCGCCCCTGCCCGACTCATTCGGCCAATCCGGGCAGTCCGGGCAGGCGGAGCCGAGCGGGCAGGTCGGACAGAGCCAGCAGCTCGACCAGACGACGACCATCAGTCGGCCGGCACAGCAGGTGAAGCCCGAGGAGGACCTGAACACGTGCACCACGCCGCAGCTGGGCGCGGGCGTTTGCCGTGACCTGGGCACATGCCCGCAGCTGCTGTTCGACCTCACCAACCTGCGCAGCAGCATCTGCTTCCAGTCGCTCTTTGTGCCCGGCGTCTGCTGCCCAGAGTGAGTTGACGACCGCACCTGGCAGCGGTGACACAGGTGCGGGACGTCTTGGGTAATGTAGGCGATGTTTGCAGACACTATGGATGCCGTGTGCAGAAATGCAACCACCATTACCGGCTTAGGTGTGGAGCTTTGATGTCACGTGTGGTTACGTGCTGCCCACTAGCAATGCATTTTCACTAAGGAACCTTTGCTTGCTGTGTGGACCACTGACGTGCGCATCCTTTTCAATCTGGACTACTGCGCTCCCCTTGGTACGTGGTGCAGTGGCACCTTTCGCTCGATTCGCAACCCACTCACCTAACAACCGTTCTCGCAGCACGGGGGGCTCCGGCTCTTCCTCCAGCTCTGTCAGCGCGCTTCCCGACTTTGGCCCACCGCCTCGACCACAGCCTCAGCCGCTCCCCACGCGCCGGCCGGTCGCCAGCCGACCCCCCTTCCATGGGGGCCTGGGCGCGCCTCTGCCGGCGACCGCGACGCGTCCTCGGCCAACTGCCGTCACGCGGCCGTCAGTGCCGTCTCGACCAATCAACGGTCGACCACCGCCAATCACAGCCCACAACCGATTTCGTAAGTCGATCGGAAATCGGTGCTCACTTCTTAAACCTTTGCGCCATGTTTTTACTTGCTTATATATCAAATATGTATATATAACATCAAATAAATATATTTTAAAAATGCTTGTCCGTCCCGGTGGCTCAGTTGGTTAGAGCGCCTGCCTTCCGATCCATCCACCCGTGGCGGGGTGGGTTCGAATCGCTTTAGGGCGCCCGCTATTTGCATTTGACAGGTATGGCCTGCGGTCGCACTGAAGGTCAGTTGACGTCAGAAGGCAGGGCGGACCGTGCCGAGCATTGCGGCACGTTAAGCATTCACCACCAAATTCTGCCGTTGACATGCAATTGCGCGATCGGATGGTAGGGGGTCAGGGCTCACACGACAAGCACTGCTTAGCGTGAGCTCTGATCCTGGAAATCCATCCATTCAAAGGGTTCGGATGAAAACTTTTAAAAAATCGTTATATGCCCCTGACATTAAAACCGCTATGCAGTAACTGACGGCATCCTGCAATGTATGGAGCCACGGCTTATAGTTGTTCAAGTAAGGAATATGACTGTGGGTAATGGCCATGCGTAGATACCACAGCGAACGCTCAACTGAACCATCCCAAACACGCCTGCAGTAACTTCAAAACAGTCTGCACTGATTCATCAGGCCAGAAAGCGCGCTGTGGTTCATAATCTTGGCGCTCCTTACCAGACCTTGAGACACCTGGTTTTTGCGGTGTCTTCCCGGTCGGTAGCAGGTTTTGGGGGGAAGCCACGCTGCTGACAGATGTTTGTGCATCGCAAAGTTTTGCTTCTTGCTAAGATATAGACAAGCTATGGAGCCTGACGCTAAGTACGGGCGGCATGTCCGGTTCTAAGTTGCATCGAATTTCACCTCTCTAACAATTTTTCCCTTTTCGCCTTACAGCTTTCTAACAATAATCTGGTTTCAAAGCAAAGCATGTCAGCGTGATTTTTTCAACGCTCACCGATGCACTTTTCTCAAAGCATGTAATCACCTTGTCTGCTTTGCCGACCCCATGCTGGATGCGTCGCTGCAACGCCTTTTTTAACGTGACGCAGGCGACCGGTTTCCTCACAAGGGCTATGGAAATCATGCAAGAGGCTCTCCATGTACACATTGGCAACCCTTAGTAGCGTCACGAGCACGGCTAGTTCTACCTCATGGTCCGAATCCCAGCTGTCGTTTTCATCCCCTGCCGAATCGCGTGGCGCGCGTGCTTCACGAAACCACCGCGGTGCTTCCGAACGGAATCCTGGCCAAGGAGGTGCCCTCAGTGGGATTCTGGCCAAGGAGACGTCCTCAGTGGGATTCTGGTCAGAGTGCCACTCTGGGTGAAATTCTGGCCAATGAGTTATCCTTGGTGGGATTCTGGCCAATGAGTTATCTTCAGTGGGGTTCTGGCCAAGGAGCCGTCCTCGGTGGGATTCTAGCCAAGGAGCCGCCTTGGTGAAGCTCTGGCGATGAGTTATCCTCGGTGGGATTCTGGCAAATGTCGTCACTGGCTGGGGCCACACCGGACCGTCAGGGGAGGTGCTGGGAGCACACTGGACCGTCAAGGGAGGTGCTGGGGCCACACCGGACCGTCAGGGGAGGTGTTGGGACCACACCGGGCCGTTAGTAGAGATGCCAGTCACACCAAACAAAAAATGACACAGATTCTCTCCAAGCATAGCCTCGACTTCCCGTAACTGTTGGATTGACGAATTGTATGTACCGCAAGGCTTTCTGACATTCATGGCCCTATGGGTCGTACACTACTCAATTAGTTTGTGCCCATAAATGGGCTAGCGATTTTTGACAGTTCTAGAGCCAGCGCGTGGTTTTGAGTTAGTTTTCTCAAGAGCACGTCTTAAGCCAGCTGCATAAAAAGGCACTCAAAGAAGTTGTATCAACGGCGAAACAGAAAATAAGCCTCCATTATTCCTTTCCACAGTGGCACGATCTACTACATGTGCACTGCTGCAAATAAGTACGAACACACATAACGTATACCATTTGCGCAGTGAGCCCACGTATACTGCTCTCATGGCGAGCGCGAATCAGCGCTCACCAGGAGGGCAGGGATACATAACCACAATCACGTAGGAACTAAGACGTCTGTCAAGATCATCACGTCTATCGCGCCTGCATGATGACGAAAAAGTCACGGCACCGCAACGGAAACCACACTGTTCATCTGGTCGTAAATATTGACGGCCGCTTTCTCTGAGGGCTGAGCTCGTCGCAGAGCAAGCACGTTTCAAAATGGTGCGGCGTTTCTGTCCCAACACACGGCTCAAGGACGCGCCACTAAGAACAATGTGTAACTTGCAACAACTTGTAACTCGCAACAAGCTACTGTGCGCCAAGCGCTTACATTTCCCCACAGATGATGCATGAAATGTGCATTTTGTAACGCGCTCATTGTGGTACCCCACATTGCGTGGATCTCAACCGTCATGTCAGCGTCATTGACTCCCTGTGGAATGTTTCAGGGTAGGGTTTCCAAGTGGCGAGCTTCATAACGTGCGATGCGACGCATGCCGTTTGAAAGCGGGGATTGTAAACATCGAGATTATCTTGCCGGAAGTATTAATGCTTAAGTTATGGGCACATGGTGAACGTGTTTGAAAACATGTTTGTAAGCTGAGGTGAAAGAGTGTCTTTTCTGTAGTCGACAGAATTTGGAACAGCCCAAATTATCGCCTGGAGCCAATTATATCAGAAACTGTTGCAAGATGACTACAATGCGAGACACCACATAAGGCAAAGATAAATGAAGTACAATGGCTCATAAACAGCATGCATATTTTCGTTTCGAAAGCTTCATTTGCACTAAAGCATCATATGCTGGCCATACCAAAAGTCCCGGCGGTTAGAACTCAAGTCTCAGTGCATGAGTGGCCGGCACAGCGTGTTCGAGACCGGTGAACACATCGGTTCGGTTCAAACCAAAGACGCCCCATGTACGGAGAAAGGCGAGAGCGTGTTTGGTCAGCGGCCATAACGGCCAGCGTATCACGTCCACATATGGCACGTAACAAACCTCGTGCACTATCTCACGACATGCTGGGGCGCAGCAGACTGATCTGGCTAGTCGCTAGGTGCTGAGGCCGGTCATCTTTCTTTTGGCTAGTAATAAGCCTAGTTGTACGGTATTTTATGCTAAACATCACAAACGATGCAAGTGGAGTGACTCTTGGCTGAAAATTTGTGAAAAACACTAATTTAAAAGGCATTGTAAAATCCCTATCACAACTGAGCTGTGACGTCAGCACTGATCTAAAATAGCTTGGAATAAAGTTCTGTCACCTGCTAACAGTGTCCTTATTGAAACTTTTATGTTGGAAGCATTTGTGGCTCTATTTGCTCTCACAGCGAAACATCAATCTTTTGACAGGTGCTCTACACAAGCTCACGCTGCATGCGTTAGCTAGTACAGACTAAAACTAAGCTTTGAGTTTCGTCTAACTGGGATGGTCTATTGCATTTTGTCGCCATTTTTGAAATTTTCTCTCCAAAAAGCTCGTAGAAGTGCCCATTGTGTCGCCGATCGTATCACGTAAATCGGTATTTTTTTTCGTCCCGGACTAAAAGTCCACAACGCATAAATTGAAAGACGCGCAAGATGTGGTTTTGGTTCATGAAAACGAACCGAAGAATAGCAGAGGTGAAGTATGATAGCCATGTGTCTTTTCTCACTTCTGAAATGAGCAGGCAAAACATGTCTGGAAGTCGTAAATGCCAGCGCGATGATGAGAGATCATAACATGCGTTGCGGCACTAATTGCTCTTTTCCTTCAGTCTGGCCTTGCCAGACGCAATGTAAGCTGATCAGCTGAAACTAATGTAATCTGATCTACTTTACCCAAGTTAGATTCATCTCATCGCTGGTAATCCCAGGGTAGCGTACACCGACTCGACTGGGCCTGTTCTGACCTGACCTGACCCTAACTGGCCTGTCCGACAGCGTGCGGCCAGCCGCAAGCGCCACTGTCCCGCGTGGTGGGCGGTGACGTGTCAAGGCCGGGCCAGTGGCCTTGGATGGCGGCCATCTACCTCAGTGGCAAAGGCAGACGCGAGTACTGGTGCGGCGGCTCGCTCATTTCTCGCCGCTACGTCATGACGGCGGCCCACTGCACCAAGGACTCCAGGGGCAAGAGGTGGGCCTCAGATGCCGCAGACAGCTGCGAATGCACCACGCTCAGCTGAGCCAAGAGCCTGTCGCCATCATGTTGATGGCGAGTTGTCTCCCTTTGGGAAACGTCGCGTTAATTTACAACAGATAAGCAAGATGCGTTTCTCCATATGATGTATGCTCTGCGTGTCTGCGGCGACGCAGGTCGAGTCGGTTGGTGATTGGGTGTTTGTTTTGGCTTCAGCTTTCACCCGAGGCAGTTCACGGTTCGCCTGGGGGATACAAATCTGAAGTCGAGTGCGGAGGCGGCCCACACGGCCAGGTTCAGGGTCATCGAGTACGTCGCACACCCCGACTTTAAGGTACTGGTCGAGGACGGTTCTCACTCTTCAGCCACGTGTAGTTATCTCGAGCTGCCAGAATGCCACTCAACGATGGCATTGAGCGCAGTTTTACGACCCGTCATTTGGAAATAATCACTGTCACTGTTCTTTACCGAATTGATCTCTTGGTGTAAATAATAAACGTGTCAAGCTCCTGGTTTCTGGTTAGTATTACGCTTAAGTTCGTATGTTTTTGTTCAAAACAAAGCTCGTGAAACTCACAGTTATCTATACATATGACACAGCTCATATGAAAAAAACTTTGAAAGCAAACAACATTTTATGTGAGCACATCATTCGTCACCTTAGGTGCTACTGTCAGCAAGTCGAGATTTTCATAATGTGGTGCATTACATTGATCTCTTCGCTTAAACAGCACCCTTGGCATCTTGGTTCACTGGTGTTGTGGTATACTGAGGGTCAGCTTTTTCAGTATCAGAAGTAACAATTGGCCCCGAGTCCCCAGCTCGCCGAGGCAGCAGGCATTGCACCGCCACGCAGTGCACTCTTCCACTCCCAAACCTCCCCCTCTTCTCTTCAGCTTCCCCTCCAACGCCCTTCTCTTCTCCGGCAGCTGAACGGCTACTACAACGACATCGCGCTCTTCAAACTGGACCGACCGGTGAACTTCAACGAGTACGTGATCCCGGTGTGCCTGCCGGACGAGTACGAGGGTCGGCCCCTGGACGCGCTGGTCGGCCGCACCTCCAGCGTCATCGGCTGGGGCGTCACCTCTTACGGTACGGCAGCGGCGATCGCTGGGCACGGGCAGCGCCGGAGACAGCCCGCCCGAGGAACACGTAGCACAGGATGGCCTGGGACAGAATGGTTCGAGTGGCCTTCCACTGAGATGGGATCTGTCGTGCTTCGACTGGTGAACTTTATAAATATGAGCAGTGACGTGGCTTTGGTTTGTTACCATGGCATTCACCATGATTTACCTTTAAAGTTCTTTGTTAAAAAGTGGTGGAGTTCATTAAGGATATTGGTTGTATGTTATTTGCTTGTTTACAAATGATGCATAGCAGTTTACTATCGGATATACATTGCGATCGGGACGCATGCATTTCGACGCTTGCATGTAGTTCTCGCGCGTCACACGGCAACGCAAAGCCACTGGTGACTTTAATGCCAGCCTGAAAGCGGATACACCACGCTTGCTCAATGTGCCCAGCAACATCCATTGCGCTCCGATCCCATTGTCCCAGAAGTTCCTTCGAACCTTGCGCACTACGTGACTAGTGGGGTAGGTAGCTGGTCACGGCTGGTGTCTGGTCAGGAGTCATCGTAACTGTGATCGCTATTTCGCGTGCGAGGGGATCGTCTGAGTCCCACGTGCCCCCGTGCCGTACCCGCAGGAGGCCAGGAGTCGTCCGAAGTGTCTGATTGCTGTGTCGCGTTCGAGGGGATCGTCTGAGTCCCGCGTACCCCCGTGCCGTACCCGCAGGAGGCCGGGAGTCGTCCGAAGTGTCTGATTGCTGTGTCGCGTTCGAGGGGATCGTCTGAGTCCCGCGTACCCCCGTGCCGTACCCGCAGGAGGCCGGGAGTCATCGCAGCTCCGAAGTGCTGACATGCCGGTATGGAGCCAGAGCGGTTGCGACAACGCCTACTTCCAGCCGATCCAGGAGATGTTCATCTGCGCCGGCTTCACCGACGGCAGGAAGGACGCGTGCCAGGTACGGCGTGCTGCCATGGCTCGGCGCCCACCTCGCCCGGTCAAGGAAGCGGACACTCGTGGCACGTCGTGAAAGAGCTTATGTGAACTGTCTTTGGTGATTTCAAGACGATGAGTCGATGCGCCACTGTCGGCGCCATCCCGCAACGACTGCATGCGATGCATTGATGCCCGCAGATGTTCATTTATGCATGCATGAACGTCGAATTGATTGATTTGACCGCAAACTGGGACGGCGGGATGTCACGCAATCACCGCTGCCGCGCATTTCTAGCGAACGGCGACCCGACCAGATGTCGTCATCATCGTGACTTGCGTTCGCAGGGCGACTCCGGCGGCCCCCTGGTGTACTTCGAGAACGGCAGGTGGATGCAGATCGGCATCGTGTCCTTCGGCAACCGCTGCGCTCAGGCCGGCTACCCTGGCGTCTACACCAGGACGGCCAACTTCCTGCCGTGGATCCGGCAGAACTTGATCTGACCCGCGGTCCGTGTAGACCATCTCAACAATCCGGGAAAGGCTTGCGATGTCCCGGAAGCTCCGCCCTCAGCGCACCGCCCGCTGCGGGGAGCGCCGCCCTGATGACCGCCGCCGGACCGCTCGCACGCGCTGCAAGGTCAACGGCGTGACCCGGCCGCTCAGACCGTGCGCGGACGGATGCGGATCGGGGTCACAAGCAGCGCCGCGGCGCCCGGCGTCCGGCCGCTGACCCGGTGAAAGTGCCCCCCTCCCCCTCCCAGCGGACGGGCCGCCGCGGCCGGCTCCTGACCGGATCCATGGCGCGCTGGCGGCGCGCCGGAGGATGGCGACGACGGCCGCCTGGCAGTGGCCCAGTCCCGGCGGGCTTGGCGGTGTCAAGTGGAGACGCGCGCCGCTGAAATGGAAAGCGGAGGTCGGCGAAACTAACGGACTATGTTTGGCGGGCGCGTGCGGCCGGGGGAGCGTTACTGAACGGGGAAAACATCGGATCAGCTGATGTTGGCTAGTGTGGGTCGGTGAGCCGGCGTAGTGACTGCGCTCGCGCCACCCACCCTATGTTACATAGATGCCAGTTATCTGTTTTAAACTGTGTGTGATGGGCAGTACTTTCGAAGCGTCTCACACTATACGATTTAAATTTAGGATTTTTGTGTTTTGTTGGCTATGAGGTAATTTACCCTGTTGTGCTTGACAGGACCGTGGACATGCCTTAGCAGCGCAGTACCACCTTACCACGTCGAATGCCACAAATGCAATGTTGATCGCTGACGCGCGTTCTGAGCAACTTTACATGGGTGCAGTGGCCGTTTGTCGAGTTACTTGCCCACTTAATGTCTCGACTGTGGGTGAATACAGTGATCTTGCGGGTGATATTCGGGCTTCCAGGCCCAGCGAATTTGTGTGTGCGTGGCAATAAATGAGCAACACATCCGTTTATTAAACACATGGTTGAAGAACTAGCAATTCATCCGCACAGTTATCACATGCAAGATTCTCGCGGTCAAGAGTTTGAAGACCAAATGAAATATGTATCCCAGCATCAGTATCATGAAACTAACGCACACCTCCGGTGAACCACGTAGCCTGTTCTACCTACGAAACATTTGGAGCTAAGCAAACATCTTAATGCGCTATTAAACTGAATCAGCATTAGATGCACCTTGCAAATGTAATAATCACACGGCTGGTAAATCGTCGAAGTTGTACCAGCCTGTCTCGGAGTCTGTATCTGTATTAGTCTGTCGCCGCACATTATGGCAACGGCTGTGTCACTTTTTTACAAGCGCAGGTACCCCGCAAAGGAACATTCAATGCAAAACAATGATCGAAGAACATCCTGACCACCGCAAATGTTCATCCGTTGTATGTTATCGTCAGTGGACCGAAACATTTGCGGGAAGCATCAAGCCAGCTCCCAAACGAATGTGCGATTTCCTGATAGTCACCTGATGTGAAACTTGGCGATGGTTCCAGCGTCACATAGGTTATGCTTACAGTGGCATGATTTATCGGCTTTCACACGTAGCATGAGAACCCAAACACTGTGTACCAGCAGCGTGGTCCGGATTTCTTAAGAGATAAGTGACAGACGGAGTTCAATGAGAACCAGTCACGCCGGCTTCGAGCTTTCTAACGGGAGAAATCTGTGGTGAAAAATTCAAAAAATCCGAACCTAAGACGGGGAATCCCCTGGCCCCTGTCTTGCTATGTACGGTTTACGCAAAGTGAGCTTTCGAAACAATTTTGTGGAGCCTTTCTTTGAGCGGATCACCATAATAGATCACCATAGATCACCATGATCACCATAGATCACCATAGGCAATCTATAACCGATTCCACGCAGTGGGATGTCTCAGGAATGACTCAGTAATACATTGCATACAAGCTTTCAACGTGACCTAAATAGTCCAGACACGAAGATTATGCGATTGGACACGCGAGCCAGCCTTCACCGAGTGTCCGCCGTAAGCACAGCTGACTGAGTTTCGCTGCTGCGACACTGGCTCCGCGTTCCCGCCATCTCCGACCGAGAACCCGCTGGTCACATAGCGTTCTCCATGTGACCGATCCGACGCTCCGGTCAGCAGTGCTGTATCACATGCGAGGCCCGGCACGAGAAGAAAAGATGACGGGACGTCTCACCCCAGCCGAGCGAGCCCCACTGGACGGGTGACGTTCGACAGGAGCAGCACCGCGGCATCTGCCAGCGATCTATGGCGAGCTGCCCGGACAGTGATCGGTCTCCAGTGGCCCCAATGCTCTCTGGCTAGCTCCTAACAGCTTGGGACTTGTTGCCTGGATCTGGGGAGGGAGAAAGTGCTGAGCCGTCCGCGGCAGTTGGAGACTTTCTCTCACGGGTTGGAGACTTTCCTCCCGGCACTGGAGATCTTCTCGTCGGCCCAGGTGACTTCCCTCCGTTAGCTGGCGACCTTCCACCAGCCGGTGCTGGAGACTTCCTGTCGGGCGGTGCTAGGGACTTCGCGCCCGGTGCTGGGGTTCTTCTGGCTGGTGCTGGCGACTTTTCTCCGCGAGCTGGCGATTTCCTGGAGCGGGACGTGGAGCGGGCGCCGGACCGGGCCGGGCTGGGCGGCCCTGGGCTCTGTAACGCCACGGAGATGGGCGCGAGGTGAAGCATGCTTGACCTGCGGCTTCATTACAACCAGCGGTATTATTGTACTCCAAGATCAGCCTAACCGGATGTATAGGTCACTTGGGCATTGGTCATTAGTGACATATAAACACGTGAAAATCGCACAACTATACCCTTTTGGGATCACAAAACGGTTATCAACTGCACATGGTGTTGGGATACAACGCATTAATGAAAAGTATGACACAGAGCTTCGAGTCACACTACTGAAAGGACAATTTTTCAACTATGTAACATGTCATGCATATACGTTCTATCTGTGCAGCACAGAACATGCGCCAGAAAATTCAAAAGCCCGGGCGATTCGGGGGGGAGGGGAATTTCTCAGGTGCACTTTTAAGCGATAAGCACAATTTGTCTGGTAAATAACGACATAGCGTGAAAACATTATCTGCAGCGCTTCATTGGAGGACGCCACACATTGGGACATTTATCAGACATCGGAGGACGCAGCATAGTGATCATTTCAGGAATGTAGCGGGGTTCAAGGTTTAAAAATCAATGATCCGGGCATCTGAATCAGCGGGGTCAGCCTGGGACGTTCGCCATGCTTTAGAGCCTCTGCTAGGGCCTTGCCGTGTTCTCATACTTCGCCAGGTTTTTGGAGGCGAGGACGCCAGGATTGGTTATGTTCTGTCATTCATCTATCATACAAGAGCTGCAGTCCGAAGCCCAAACGCAGACCGGAATATCGGGGCTCGTATAACGCCTATCGTTCGCGGGAGAGGAGCTCAGCAAGACGTGCAGCAACCGTGGATGTGTGATCAGTGACGACATTCAGTGTTGCTTGGGGGCTAGCCTACCGAAGCGAAATTTGGAGCACGTGAACCGGTTTTGAATTGGCTTTGAATCAATCGCCTGAAAACCGGAGGCATGACTGACGGCGCGGCGCGCGTTTGAGGCCTGGGATGGACCCCTGAATGCCCTCACTCCGCTCAACGTCGCAGGGGTTTTATAAAGCACCCCGCTGAGCGTGCGAGTGCCCGGCGGTGAAGGATGCTGCAGAGCTGTCACGTTAAGCCGGTCCTTACCATGGTGCGTGTTGTTGACACCAGCCCCTGTCATGTCCCTAAACGACATGGAACACAGCCTGCCCGGAGTGTTTGGCTCCAGAAGCGACACTGAACATAGCCCGCCTGCAGTGCTTTCTCCAGAAGCGACATTGAACACAGCCTGCCCGGAGTGTTTGGCTCCAGAGGACATCTTAAAAACGGCTTGTACGGGTTGTTTGGCTCCAGAAGCAACACTGAACATAGCCCGCCTGCGGTGCTTGCTCCAGAAGCTACAATTGAACACAGCCTTCCCGAGTGCCCGCTCCAGAACCGGATAACCTGACGAGGATGTTTACTAAAAACTTTGGGAGTGATCATTCATCTGTAATTTTCCTGGACTTCGCGCAGTGGAGCGGAAATTGAGTTTTGTGGCAGGAAAGCAGAGGTCACCAAAGGGCGTCCCGGCTTGGTCAGCTTCTGAGCGTGACACCAGAGTCCGACATAGATGTCGCCCCTGTCGCTCACTGTACACCTGGGACTTGGATGTCGGCAGTTCCATTGACTTCCCATGACAACTAAGTGTGTAAAGTGCTCTTGGTAGCCAAAATGGCAGCTTTATTGGATGCTCCACGTCCATGTTACGTCAATGAGCGAATAGTTTCCCCCTTTCTAACGTCAGGAATCGTTGCCACGGAACGAAAGCGTTCGCGGTTGCTGTACGTGTCTGCAGGTAATTATCGGCTCTCGACGGTACTGCCACAGGAAGACCTGCTATCCGCCAACTGTAAGCCAGAGATGGTTGCGGATTCTAAGTACTGGTAAAGTTTGTGGTGGGCACCAGTGGGTATGTGGTGGCGCGGGGTGGGAGGATTTTGTGTCCGTTCAATGTCAGGCGCGGTCCTCTAATATCTATGATATCTTTTTACCTTCTGGCGCCAATTATTATTACCGTTAAGTGAAGCAAGCTGACATTCACGGTACCCAACCACGGTTTTTGATAGCTTCGATGCGTACGGAAGGGAGTTTTGGTACTGCAGGGTTGTTTGTTTGGTACACCGATCCACCCCCAGTGTCCGTGAATATGTTCTGTGTTATTTGACTCGCGATCACTGGCGATTGCCCGTAGCGTCTCGACAGTCGGAATGCCACCGAGAAACCCCCAATCATGGACCGCCGCGCGTATTCTCACTCTTTCAGTCTTTTTTGTGGGATTCTTGGAATCTGGTGCGTCACTGACGGGAATCTCAGGCAATTGATCATCGTCGGCCATTCGTTTTCCCCCGACTATCTGCATATTTCCCTGGCTTTCCTATCGCTCGCTGACGGCATCAGATGGTGACAGGACATTACCATTTGTCACTGTCATTGCACATTAAGCGGCGAATGATCGGTGGCGGGCGTGAGCTCTCATGTCGGCGGTGTGTTCCCGATGGGAGCTAGCGATGACTGACGATCGGCGCTGATGGTTCGCCACTGCGTCAGCGGTCGGGGGCAGTGCCAGCAGCGGCCGCCCACCGCCAGAGGCCCCCGTTCAGGACGGGAAGCGACCGGGGCAGTGTCGGCAAGGGTGCGCCCCACCGCCAGAGGGGGGGCCTCTGGATCAGGACGGG